AATGAGATTTGTTCATTAAAGAACGCAGCTCGATCTTCAATCAAATCATAAACATCTTTCAGATTCTGTTTTCCTCTTCTTTGATGCAGAAACTTTCCAAAACAACAAGTTAACTTGTGTCCCATGAAGGACGTTTAATCCTGGCCTCTCTTTGAGGACATCCAACAAGCAGTTCTTTGAGGTCGAGTATCGCTGATCAAACAGTCATGTTTGGTGTCAGCTCAACGAAGACAGCTAGGTTACTCATACGAGCAGGCGCTCACCTGCTCCACGTGTGTTTAGCTAGGAAACCAACACATGTAGTGTACATACCAYGGCCCTGTTTTGCAACGTCGTGAACACCTACTGCTGTGTTTGCGTGTTGGTGCATTGATGAGCTGCGGAGTGAAAGGTTACTTTAGCGTGCAAAGGTTTGGTTGACTTTTCCTGCTGCTGTGAAAGGATAATTGTGCTGAAGTTGCGTAAAGTCAGGGATGAAATATTTTTAACTTTGTGAGGAAGATTAATCCTTTTATTTGATTTTTCTGGGCACTTTGTGTTGCTTTATGCAGAAACCTGAACTATCTAAAAACCCTTATCATATAAATTTCAGCTTTTATAAACAACCCTCAAACCTTTGCCTGACCCGGCTGGTAGTACTTTGAAAATGTACTAAAAAAAGGTCCCAACAAAGCAAGAGAAAGCTCTTAAGAGGATAGCTGTTGAGTTAGAGAAGAAACTCAGAAATGGCAGCTCTGACAAACAGTGGAGCCGAAGTCTTCAAACTAAAACGCTTTAAGAGAGAACTGCTTATATAACTGCATCTGAGGCCAAACAAAACCCCAGTGTGAAAACAAAACGTCTTCAGGTAGAGCTGACAGATGTTCTTCTTATTCTACTCCACACGTACGACCTTTGCTAGTTTAATGTGAGAGTGCCACAGTAAGGGAAAGATCTCTGAGTTGCAACACAAAAGTGCCCAGAGAAATCTTCAAAAGACCGCTGAAGGACGCAAAGYGTACTATGGCCAAAAAGCCTCTCACGAAGAACTTCAGGTTGGAGACAAAGTCTGGTACTACACTTATGCCCCCACCACGAGACAAGGAGAGTCCAGGACTGGAACTCTCGCCCGCAAACTAAAGGGCTCGACACACGGGGAGCGACAAACTACAGCGATTAACGGCTGTCATCGCAGCCAGGGTGAAACCCGACACACGGGACGCGATAGCGATCGCAGCGTTGCAAATCGCGCTCTCTGGTCGCTTGTCTTCATGAAATTTGATTGGTTCTTGACTCTGAAGGTGGGTGTGCATTACGGACGTGTAAACTAAACAAATCTTGCGATGCTAATGATATTGAAAAACAAACACACATCAAGATACAGTTTTATGAGGAAAAACTTACCATAAACTTCACCCTGGTGCCAATAAATTCCCACAAAGCTTTTTAGTAATCACTTGGTGAAAGTGTTAGCTAACGGCAGTGTGTAGCATACTCTCCTCTCATTGGTCAGTCAATGAAACCCTCGCTGATTGGTTGTACGCTAAGCGACAGCGACAAAAGTTGAACATTTTTCAACTTTCATATGTCGCGTCGCAAGCTCGCGTGTGCACGTCTACGTGTACGAGCGTGAAATTTCACATGCACTATTTTCGCCGTCGCTTAGCTGGAGGAGGGCAAGCGACTGTCGCCTCACCGCACACGCTCCATAGGAAATGAATGGAGAGCGAGCGACGTCGCCTCCCGTGTGTCGAGCCCTTAATGCCCAGGTGGACTGGCCCACACCAAATAATAGACAAACTGTAGGGTTCTCATTGTTGCATTTTCAGGACAAAAATTGTRTCATTCTGTTCACAGCTTCGAGTCTTCCACCCCGAAGTGGGATCTTTTCACCCCACTCCGAATAAAAACGTACCTTGTGATTGGTCAGAAGTTCACTTACAGATGTCGACTGCTGTACCCAGATGCAGACATCTATAAAGACAAACGGCCAAATACTCATTCGGCTTCAGATGAGAGTATAATGAACTTAAGCGATGGTCGATGTTCCCTACRTGGACTGCAACATCTGAATTGAGACACAGCTCTTTTCTTTCTCCAAACACACCTAAAGGTAGTATCTCACCAGACTGCAACTGTTTGTATCCAACCCATCAAAGCAGACAGACAAAAGATCTCAGCTTAAATACGATCATTATCTGAAGCCTTAACCTCTCATTTGTCATCCTGAACCTAAATACCCTTTAAGATCTGTTCAGTAAAGATGTGACAGATGCTATTCAGGCTCCCAAAGTGCCTGAAAACCCATGATTTGAGTGATGGGGCGGTGATATGGTAACTCTGCAGGTGGGAGCATCAAGCGAGGGGTCCCACAGAGCGTGTCTTATCAGTAAGAGCAACATTTGTAACATGAGGACGTAGCTTAGCCACGCACTGGCAGTCACGCTGAATGTAAACTATTCGTGTCTCGGAGGATTACGCGCTGCACGCTCTGACTTCAAGAGGTGTCGGTGTTGCTCTCAGGGTGCTTGGGGTGGACCAAAGTTCAACACRAGACCTTCGCGGTCTCTCCTCTTTTAAAGACTTCTCACAGCGATGGATATAAAGATATGATTGCTTGACCCAAAAGTGGATAAGCAAGTATTCCCACGCTACCAAAAAAAGTCAAGTTGGGATTTTCCCCCCATTCTGTCATGGAAGTAAACATTTGCATTCTTGTGTTGTGCGTGCTAAAAGAGATGAAGCTGAATTGAAGCGTGTGTGTCAGGTAGCTCATACCATGCATACCTTTTTCTGGCTCTCAGTGGGCATTCCCTTTGCCTCTTTGAGCTTGGCTGAGGACGGATAGCAATTTTCTAGATCCATTGTTATTACAGCGGCCCTGGTCAGCTTCAACACTGACAAGTAGGCTAAGACTTAATGCACCAGGACTGTAGGCGAAGCTTCAAAGAGCCCACCGTTTCTCCGTTTACTGGAGGACTGGGATCAAACGGGACACTTAAAAAAATCAGCCTCAGCTGTAAAATATTAAACAAATAATCCCCCTAAAAAGAAAAACAGAGATTGTGATCATAATGTGTGTTAAAACTAAAGGAACAGTTGCATATTTTTTAATAAAGACTATAGATCTTCCCACTTAAAATCATAAACAGTGGTTTTCAGTCTTGTGCCAGCAAAGAGCAAGAGTATGATTGTCTCATTCCTTTTAGCTGATTTCAGTTCACCAGTAGACTCAGATTCAGATCACGTTCTTCTTGATATTTACAGGCACAAACTTGTTGTTAAAGCTAAAGGAAACATAATATAATATGATCATAACACTAGCGATAGGTGTAAAAAGCATAATGCTTCTTAAAAGTTGTAAAATTATATTTAAAAGTAGCAAAGGATTAGCTTAATTCTAGAAGTTCCAAAATACTAGTTAAAAGCTAAATCAGGGCTATACAACTGGTGGCCCGCGGGCCATATCTGGCCTGCGAGTGACCAAACTTTGGCCCACAAATTGATTCATTCATCTCTGAAACCCAAACCCCTGGTTTTCTACTTTAATAAGTTCTTTTGGTTAGACATAGACATGTTTTGTATCTACAGAAACATCTGGATCTTGGCAAGAAACTGGTAAAATAATTTCTATGAACACCCAAGGCCGTTAAAACTAGAAGCAGTTGAAGATGAAACAAATAAAATTAGTTAAATTTTTTTGAAAAATCAGAGATGTCAAAATTATATTTGTTAAATAGGAGGCATAATGTGATTTTTASTTTTGATATTGTTTTATCATCACTACTTTTATTACATARGATTCTGTATGTTGTATTAATAATTAAATAAAAATTAAATAAACTGTTTCAAAGGTAACAGATCTTTGTAATACTTGGTTTATTCACATAATGACTGTAATGACTGAATGTTCGTTTTGGCTGTTGGCCTGCAGTAACTGTGGCCCCCGGAGCAGTTTAGTTGAATAGCCCTGAGCTAAATCATGCAAAAGGATAGCTGGGAGCTAAAAGTAACAAAAGGCTAGCTAAAAGTTAAACCTTGCAAATGGCAATTTAGAAGCTTAAAGTATGAAAAAGCTGGGTAAAAGTAGCTTAATACTATCTAAATGTGAAAGGTTACAAAATGAAAGCTAAAAACTATATTGAGGACGGTAAGGAGCTTAAAGAAACAAAAGGCTAGCTGAAARCTAAAAGTTTTGGTAAATGTTGCAAAATGACAACTAAAAAGTAAAAGTAGCRAAAAGTTAAGCTAAATTCCARATGTTGCAAAAGCATAACTAGAAGCGAAAAGTAGCAAAATGCTAGCYAAATGTTAAAAGTTGCGAAAYACTTGGTAAAAGCTAGATTATGCATAGGGATAGCTAAGAGCCTAAAGTAACAAAAAGCAGTTGTAAGCTAAAAGGCTTGGTAAATGTAGCAAAAATTATGGATTCTCCTTTATTTTTAACTCTTCTAACAGAACTGTGAATGTTTGGTAAATGTTCAGTTCTTATTGTCCTTGATGACTTCACTGTACAATCGGCGTCTCACAACTAAATATTATCTGGACAAAGACTTTCAGCAGTCGTTCTTTGCTCCACGCTGTATTTTCTCAAGTCAGGCGAAGTTTTTTAACGGACCTGAGCACAGACCGAAGCAGTGATATCTTTGCTTGTTGTTTTAAGGCCTTATAGAAAGCCTTAGCTGTAACCTTTGTGTTTAACCATCAGGCTATAAGCTCTGTTGTGACTGCTCTCTGCTTTTTGAGCTCCAGTAAAAACAAACAGTTGTGAGCGCAGACATGAAGGCAGCTTCACGTGGGAGTGGAGCTCTTTGTGTGGATGCTCCTATCACTCATCCATTAAAGATGAGAGTAAACTATGATGACATTAAGTAAAGAGAGAAAGAGAGGGGAGGAGGGAAAAAAGGCATCAGTTTTCAAGTTTGCGTGCCTCGTCTCTGAGCGTGTTTCTTTAAGAATGAAAGGTGGGTGAGCCCCTCTTCCTGACACGCTCCTGGTATGCAAACATAAATTTAGCAGCAACGTGTTTCATCTGGAAGCGACCGAGAAGTGTCATGTCGTCTCCGTCCTGTCTTGGCTGACTTTGACTCACCCCCACCACTCCTCCTCAGTCTGGGAACTGGAGGAGAGAGCAGACCTGTTTCTGACAGAGACCCCCGGACCGGGACAGCAGAGAGACAGAGGACCTGTCTCTCAGCAGACTGAAATTATACAGAGTCTGTTTGTGTCCGAGATGACTTGGAGCTGTTYGTGCACGACTGGGCTGCTTCTCCTCACTGCAGCCCTCAAGGTAAAAACTGCTTTCAATCTTTCAGCTTCAGTTTATGAGGATTTGTGGAATTTGTTGGGGGAAAAAGAGGAGCCACCACCTGTTGCTTTCAGTTTGAGGGCAGAAAATAAAAATGAAAAACAGCCTGACTTTTGATGTGTTTTTTTAAATCACAGACTTTTCATTGCAGCTCTTTCTAATGTACCTTTAGTGATGTTCAGTTGTGAGCCAAATGYTTGGTATTTTCATTATAGTCCCTGACATGAGCATCTGTATGAATATTTTACATTTTTTACTTTTTAAATTATTTTTAATGAAGTCTTTGGCTTTCATCAGGTCCAAAGCTGCTGTTGTGGTGGAAGAAAGACAAATCAAAACAGGAATTATTTAAAATAATTTTGTGACTTCAAATTTTGTGAATAGGATTATGAACAACTACTATCTTACCTGTTGTAGATAGCTCTTTGAATGACCTTATTTGAAAAAAAAATACTACAATGATAAAATTCCACCTAAGTGATGAACTAATGGCTAGTTTGAGCAGAGTAAAAAACAAATTGTCTTAAAGATGCATCCACGTGTCCAAAATTACCCTGTTTAACCTCTGATGGAAATTTTCAAGAAATTTACCCAGAAATATTACTCCCATTTGCAACCCAGCATCAGTTTCAATCTTTTCTTTCCATCTAAATATCTTTTCTGAAATTCTATTTCATCATTTGTTAACCTACACAGACGAAGACCAGAATAATCTTGGTCAATCCCGTGAGTCAACATTCAGTCAAGTGCTATGTTTACATTGAGTGCAGACCCATATTTTAGAACTGCAAAGAGTATGTTTGACCAAACTAAACTCTCAAACAACTCTTCACTGTAAATCAGCCCAACCCTCACTTATTTCAGCCTAATTTTTCTAGTTCTAAAGTTCAACTACAGCCGAGAAGTTTGAAGAGGACAAAACTGTTTGTTTGTTTGTTTGTTTGGTGGGAGAACAAGATTTTGGCCTCAAACAGCAGGGCTCAATGACTAAATGACCACAACAGGTGCTAACAGCACTTCAAGGTGAAACAGGCTTCAGTCTTTCTGGCTGCTGCTGTCCAGCTGGACATGTCCCATCTGTAATCAGTWAATGACAGAAACACGTTTGAGACMCTGCTCAGTGCTACAGCTGAAAAACTGGAGGGAAGATAGAAAATAAAGGCAGCAAAAATCTGGACGTTGTGTGAAAACTAATTCAACGTTAACTCAAACATTGTCCATTGTACTATTTTTTGTTTTATTTTGTTAACTGTTATGTATGATGTTTTATTGTTATTTTCATTCTCTGTTTTATTCTTTTTTTGTTTTATTGCATTATATTTTAATTGTATGGTGTCCTTGAGAGCCATGAAAGGCACCTTCAAATAAAATGTATTAT